GGAAAGAGAAAAGAAACCCAAAATGAAACTGCTTTAAGAAAACAGACCTACAAACTCTTACTGACAGTGGAAGCCTTTACTCACCCTGGGCACTGCACTATAGTCAATGGGATCTTATATAAGAACTAGTCATGCAATTAAGAGTGTTTACAGAATCAGCCTATCCTGATACTAATTGTAAAAGCTACATACTGATTGCTAAAAAGTAAATTGATCCCTTTAGCCATTTGTCAGCTGGGTCCCTTACCAGGTACGCAGCACTTTGTGGTACATGGCTGCAAGCTTTCTTTTTAATTTTTTTTAATATAGTTACAGTCGTACATCTTCTTAACATAGAAATAAAAACTCCAAGACGAACTTTGTGTTTGGCAAAGGATCCCTTCCCCGTTTTACCATGTCATAAATTTAAAAATCAAAGGTGTTCATTGATTTAACAAATCCTTCTCTGAGAGATAATTGAAACCACTTCCCAATATACAACCAAAGTTTTATTTTTATAGTCTATCTTCCATTATGGCGTAATCCTTTCAATTTTTTTTAAACCAGTGAAATATACAAATCACACAAGACAGGAATATGTACATTAAATGTACAGAACAGAGGAAAGGTCATAGAAGATTTACATATCTGAATGACACAAGTAAAATATTTTACATTAAATAGTATTTTAATAGCTAGGATCATTAGACTCAGCTCTGCTCAGACACAAGTCACTAGAAAAGGGAACAAGAGGCGATTCAACAAAATAAAAATGACTATGGTTTTTGTATAATAAAAACCAAAAGTGACATATTCAATGAATTAGTGCTTTATTTTGTTTTTTATTTTAAAGATACTTTGTTTGCAAACATCTGGAAATGAGGGGTAAATATGTCCTTGTACAATAAATTAAGAGCAATAAAGCGCCATTTTAAAAGCTGATAAATGATCAAGATGAACTTAATGATACAGCTTATAAGCTTGTGATAAGTTAAGGCTTTAGTACAACTAGGCCAAAGATTAAAACCTTCCACATCTGTTATTGAAAGCCAATTTATTTATGGGATGGGAATGAATTGGGAAGAGGTGTCTGAACCAATGATAAATGCTTGGTAAGTACACTGTATCAGGGGAAGCAAAGAAATCATTCTAATAAGTACCGATTTCCTCTCAAAAAATGTAAAATCAACAAAGGGCCCAGCATAACTTGCTAGAGAATTTTAAGGCATCACTGTTTCAGTGAGAATCAGTAATGGCCTTGCAGGAAAGAGAGAGGCAGCCTCTGACCCAGTGTGAATTCAAGTGTGCGGCTCTGCCTCTGCCTGATAGCCCACGAAGCCCCTTAAGTTGAGAAAAAGCTTGCTTCTTTGCAACTTAAGTATTCTTAAATCCGAGTTAAATGTCAAAAAGGCTAGAATGATTTTAAAAATAAATCTCAAAGTGATTTGTAAAAGGAAATGAGGAATAATATGCTTAAAGCTGATGAAATACCCCTGTAACTTTAGCAGTTTTATTTTAAAAAAATATCACTGTCTGTACTGAAATATATATGTACAAAAAGCTTTGAAATATCAGACACCAACAGACCACAGTTTTCCCATATATATATATATAACTGCTCAAGTATAGTCTGAACAGTTTGTGTATACCTGCAATATATTATCTAAAGCAAGTGTATTAAAGACATAGGATGATAAATTTGGTATTGCTGCAACATTTCATTGAACTATAAGAGCCACTTAACGCCATTAAAATATTAAACTATTGTCTCCTCAAGTCAAAGCTTTCCCATAATCCACAATAAACCAACCATTTCAAGAGTGGATGCCTAATGATTAATTTCCTCCCATAAAATGAGAGGGGTTATTTATCAAGCTGTGTTTTGAAAGGCGGCCAGCTATCACACCATTTAATAAAGGGCATTTTGAAATCTGGGGGAATTCTAATTTTAAAGGGCTATCCAGGCTGGGAGAATAAACCAGCTGCTGCGGTACAATTTGTATCAGGGCAGACCACTGTTTGGTTAAATAGAGACCTCGCCAGCTCCCAACATTCTTTATTGGTAAGGTATTGTTCAGGAAGATGAAAAGCTCACACACCACAAGCAATCAGCTGAAGAGCTAACAGACCAAATTGTGCTTCACCATGCATCTTTACCATGAATCAAGGCAGGATTTCCTTTCCCATAGTTTTACTAGCTATTGGAACCAAGAGTGTTAAATCCTGAATAGTATAGGAATCTTACATGCTCTCACCCTTAAAGATATTACACATTTAAAAGTTGGCACACTTCAGATATGCAATTGGCACTGAAGTAACTTTGTGCTGGACCCTGTGAACAAACCACCCCACCTTTTATGGACTCTCTGGATGTATCAATCAGCTTTGTACATATCTATTCTGATTATTTTTGGTCACCTGAAGCTAAAATCATGCACAGTTTTGTGGATGACTGTGTCCATAAGGATCATTTTCACATTCCAAGCACATAACATGGTTTCTTTGCCTACTGCACATGTAGTATGTCCCAAGGGACTAAATTAGGATATGATGGATTCTCCCCTCAAACTACACTATTGTTTAAAAAGTCTTATTTTTTTTTTGTAAAATAAATATTCTTGGGTTCTCCCCCATTATTGCCAAAAATATAAACCACGCACAGTTCTGGGATGGATGCAGAGAGGGTTCCAGTCGTTTCTCTTTGCAACCTTTATTTTTTTTAAAAAGACGACTCATTGGACTCTATAAATAAAGTGGAGATAGTTCTGGGGGAGGCAGCACCCCTCGCTGGCAGGCAGGCAGAAGTTTCTCCCACCTCATCCGCCCCCTATTTGCACACGAACTGGTCCACAACCTCTGTGCACAACTTGCATTTCACATAGCAGCACCAGTGGAACTTGCAATGGCAGCGCTCTCTCTGCACTGTCTTAAACTGATCATAGCCCCGGCCGCAGCACATGAGTTCACAGCCATCCATGCCCTCCGAGGTCTTATTGCAGAGACGGCCCTGGGTGCCCAGAGACCCAGTGCTCTCATTTCGCACACAGTAGTCAGGGCTAGGGTCGATGTAGATCAGGTCATGGATGGTGGGTGCATTGAAGCGGCTGTTCACCTGCACCAGCTTGCCCCGGGTGTTCAGTTTCATGGCAGCAGCACTATCATATTTTTCCTTCAAGGCATCGCCAACCTTGCGGAAATCAGCTAGCTGCAGCCAACATGTCTTCAGGCTGCACGAACCAGACACCCCATGGCACTTACAGGCCACATCAGCCAAGTTGTACACAGTCTAGAGGAGAGAGAAAAAGAGACAGAGAAATAAAAAGGTCAGTGTAGCTGCTACATAGTTACCGCCTCCCCTCTCCCCCTGCCACCTCACCCCTCCTACAGAAGACCTCTTAAGATTTGATTTGTCACCCATCTTGCATGCAGGAGAGAGAATCTTGAACAGCCTATCACCACACACACACCTCCCAAGACAGAGCTAAGAGCTAAGCGCATACTTGGACTGCAGCAGAATCATTTGTGCTGTGCTCAATTTGAGGAATTTACCCTAGTGCCACTGAATGATTTTGCTGTTTAATTGAGAAAGTTAAAACTATCCCTTTACTGTTTGTTTTATCCTCTCTATGGATCTCAGCTGGAGGCTGGAATTAGAGAAAGAGTTAAAGTTTCTCCCGCTCCTGGCTGTGCTGCAGTTGATTGTCTACTCTTGGCTCAGCAGCATCCTCTCATCCAAAATATTGCTGTGCAAGAAAGACTTCATCCAAAAAGAAACCCCCAAACACCTTTGGGTGGGGGACTGAGCTATACAGCAATATCCTCTTTATAAAGCCTTGGCAGGGAGATCTCAGTCATTTACCCTGTATAAATAGAAATAAGAGTCAGTGTTGACACTGCCCCAAAAATCCTGGGGTCTGACACATTAGGTGGATACTGTATGCAACTTCCACCCAGTATTTAAAGAGAGTTATAATGTTGCCAAATGGCACTGCAAAAACTGTGAGTCTCTGTAGGCAACTATGAAAGTGTCATTTTTCTTCTTTTTAGTAGTAAATTGGCCTTTCCATTGCTTTCAGACGCCCTCCTCTCACATTTAAATACTATTAATTTTCAATTATCTTTCATCCTTCCTCACCTTGAAACACAAGTGTAAAGTCTCCAGCTGCCTATTTCTGGCACCATGGGCTTTAGGAAAATAATGACTTTGGCTCTTTGCATTCACAGCATTAAAAAAAAAGTTTACACTCATTCATTTAAGGCATTTTCAAGATTAAAGAAGCCATAAAAACATGTTTAACCACAGAAGAGCATGTTTTCTAATAATATGGAGAAGCTTTTCACATCCTCACAAGGCAGAAAAAAAAAAAATCATATAAATATAGCCCTGTAAGAATATTCCAGTCTGGGGAAACTGGTGCTTGTCTCTTCCCTCCAAAGCAAACTGGATTGGTTGGAAATATAAACCAATAAAATATTTTTCTGAAGAATATTCACAGTGAACTGTAGGGTTTTATTAAAAGACCATGGAAGAAAACAAGCTGTATTAGGGTCCCGGTGATCTCATGGGGGGCAAGTGGCGAAGGGAAGGGCAAAGCCCACAGCTATAGGGTTATCATTCAGGGTCTCTCTCTCTCTCACACATACTCGCTGCTGTAAAGCAGCACAGAGGTGTACACTGTCCATCACACCATATTTAATCCAATACAGTATAGTTTCTTTCTCTGACTTAAAAGGGAAAAAAACATTAAGAGTTTTGATTTCACAGCTCACCAGCAGGTTTCAGTGGGGGCTAATTAGACTGGCAAGATAAGTCTCTCAACTTTTGCACATGTTGCTTTTGTAAAGCACCTTATAAGAAAGCTTTAAAGGCCCCCTCATTAATGAGACAGCACCTTCCTAAGCAGACTGCTTTGGGGTAGGGGGAGAAACAGCTAGTCCCCAAGTCACTTACTCTTCTTCCAGCTTCATTGTTATGCAGGTTCATCATGATCCTTGCACTCTCATAAGAGCCTCTCTGATAAAGTCTCTCTCGTTCCCGGGCATCCACAAACTCCTTGGCAAAGCGATAGCCATACTCTATATTATCCCCACAGCCACCCCAGAGCCAGTCTCGGGGTAAATCTTTGGGCCTGGCTGCTCGGCTGCAACCACAAGAAGAGAGTTCGCCCTCTCGGCAGGCACGACTCATTGCATTTACTACCCCTGCAGCGCTGACTGCGTAAGTAAAAGCAGTCTCCCTGCTGCCTGTAAAGAAAAAAGAAAGAAAGTGTTAAGGGCGATCTATACATGTTCTAGGATGGTCAGTACACGCTAGAGGAAAATGCTGTAAGGACCATCCAAAATTAACTGGGTTCTTGAAAGGTCTTATAAACTTAAAAAGCTCTCTTAGGAATTGTTTTTACTTCCCCTCCTCCCACCCCTCTTCCAAAAGCAAACAAATCAGTGTCAGTAAGCGGAGGGGTTATAAAAATATAGATGACAAATTCTCCCCTCATTTATGCTGGTCAAAATCAGCCCAATGCAGAAGGTGGCAATGGTGCAACCAAGGTGTATCAGGCCTCAAGACTGAATTCAGCCATTTACTACTGCGTTAAAAAAGCATCCGTGTGAGGAAAAGGGAAGGAGAAATGCTTGCTCTTTTTAAAAATGTAAGACACAACGTCTAAAAGCCTGTTTCTTAAATTGCTACTTGCTTAATATGATTTATGCACTTTACACATTTGTTCCAATTTTTTTTTTTTTAAATGTTCCAGCATTTCACAAAGCCCGCCGCTGTCAATGAAAGTGCACATCAGAATTATGCACTGCAATTCTTAGCCTTCCGCATTAGCCAGCCCGCAGCTTTGAGGAGGTCTGAAAAACAGGAGCAACACATCCACAACTCTTTGATATCTAATAACCAGACTCATCAATTAAGAATCAATCAGAAATAACTGGCAGTGGGTTCTCTACAAGTTACAGTGAAGAAAAAGCCTGGCTGAAGGTTCTCTCAGAAGTTTGTTTCCGTTAAATAAATTAAGAAAAAAAAGAAAGAAAAAAACCTCGAGTGGGAAATAAAAATAAATTTCTTTCAAGGTTATCACAGAAAAACATTTTTTGCTTAATTTAGGCTACTCATACAATATCCCCAATGGAAGAAAAAAAAATTAAATAGCTTCCTTAACAGCACCTGGAACTATCTTTACCTAGAACCCATTTCCAGGAATGGCAGTTTAATGCACAACCAGAACTCCTTTCATTAAAACAAATATAGTACTAGAGAGCATCCTAGAAGTATGCATTTCCTCTTAGCAGGAAGTAGAGCCAAAATGTTTACTCCGTACCACTAAAGGCCCAAACCTGGAGTTTTTCCTCCAGGCAGGATCCCCAAGAAGACTGTATGATCAGGCTAAAACATAAATTTGAATTAAAAAAATAATAATTCAAAGGTTTAATTTTTGGTTCAATTAATAAGTTTACTGTTCTTCCTTAGTCCAATAATTTAGATTAGTCTTGGTAAACACCAATTTTATTAAGCTCTTAGGGAGACTGTCTAAAGTCTTCAAAAATTGTGGCTTTGTGAAAAAAGATTTGGATGTATTCAGATATATATTTACAGTAACAATTTTGGGGGGCTGGGACTAAACAGTCTAGGGCCAAACCTGACTAGGGCTTTGGGCATCATCGTCTTAGCCTAAATAACATACAACTTTAGGTCTGGCTTTAATATTGATATGGCACGGAGATCACAGCACCCTTGCTAGTGTCACTACTGCCAATTTGGATTCATTTATGTTGATCTGAAATAAGGAAAAAAAAAAAAAATCAGAAGCCCAATGACAGATTTTGAAGTGGATGAGAATCAGTGTTTCCCCTCAACACTACACCACATTCTCTCAGCTCACCATTCACAGGATTACGTACATGAAGGGATTACTCACAGGTATGACATTAACAAGAGTAGCCTCTTACATTACAACTTTAGTGATAAAGATGACTCTGGATTTGCCAAAAGTTCACTGAGAGAACCACCTCTGATCCAGATTTTAAAGCGAAGTTCTAGCTCTTACTGTAATGCACATTTTGGACTCATTCTGCAGTCCTCAACTTCAGTGGGAACAGTACTCAATTAATTGGCAGTTTGTCTTAACTACCGATTTTTCCCTTTATCTGTATCTATTGCAAAAATGTTTGCCCAGCTTGGGTTATGCTGATGCATTTTTAGGGCATCACTCCTAATGTGGAAGAAAGGAACACAAGCGGGAAATTGCTCCAAAAACACAAGTTGTGTATATGCTTGTTGCCATCATTATTTTTAATAAATTTAAGCAAAGTTTGTTTAACCATTGAGAATGACTTCAGACAGTTTCAGTTCACATGTACCATTAGCCTGCCACATTATCCTAAGTAAGAGTCACTACCCTCAACAGTGTTGAAGGGCCCATATTTCCACGTAGATGAATTACTATGATTTTTTTTTCCAGGGTATTTAGGCAAAAATGGTTTCCTTCAAGTGTCAAGTATCAGAAGTCTCTCTCTATTGTGGCTATTGCAAGAAACACTTTCTAAGCATGTGCAAGTTCCTTTTTCATATATAACATACGAATAGGACTATGTTTAGCATATGAACTGTTCAGAGACGCAACACAGAGCAGGAAGCATTTTACTCTGAAAGCGGGTACATTATAAGAACAGAACAAGCTATCCTTGTATAGAAACATGGTATCAAGTGGTCTTTATCCCATTTTTCATGATCATTCAAAATCATCTTCAAGCACAAATAGACTAGACCCCACCATAGGAAATTGGGGGGGTGGGGGGGCGGGGAGAATCAATCTAACTTTACACTTATCTCCCTTTCCTCTTTAAAACTGTCTAAATACCCCATGGGTCCAGGAGCACAGAGTCCCAAAGATGGTACAACATAGCGAATGTAAGAGGAGTGCAATAGTATGATTAAGAAATGATCAGAAAAATAATGACAGAGGAGAAGGTCTGTAAATTTAAAGATTAGTGGGCCATAGACAAAAGTTTCTATACTGAGGGCTTCGTTTATTTGTACAGGTTTAACTAACTTTTGCCTGATACATCCTGAAAGAAAGAGAACAAATAGTCATAGTGGCATTTACTCCTCTATTAAAAGCTAGTGCTTCTCTTATAAAGACCCCTCAGTGCAGAATTAGTTATGATTTATTCAAATAACAAAAACCTGCTAAACTATGCATATTCATCATCTTATTATGATCACCTTGCACAGGTAAGAAATAAAAAAATAACTTCACACAATAAATGGAATACCTGGATAGTTTAAATAAAAGTAAACCAGGCTATATAACTGCAGATTTCCCGCCTAGTCAAATGAGCAACCTCCAATTACATACTTGAGGTCAGTGTGAAATAATAAAACTACTGACTGACAACACTTTTCTTGTTCTCAATGAATACACTTTTCAAGATTTTTAGGTGTTGATATACATATTAAACCCACTTCTATCTGCAATTAGAGTAAGTGGCTTAATTACATGATAAATTGCTACCTGGACATCAATTAATGCAATCATAACGGGGGGGAAAGGCAATGTTATTTAACATGAAAGAAACCACCTTGTCACCAGATCTGACATACTTCTAGTGGGTGAACCTTTTATTCTGACAGCACTGGAAACACAGAAATCCTGGGCCTGATCCTGCCCCTTTTTATCACAGTGATAGTCCCACTGAAGTCGGTTGGACTTATTTGGGTAGGGAGGGTTCAACGATATAGTGCCAAGTTTTAAATGCATTTCTTTTCTGGCATTACTCATAATTGCCAAACACCTCATTCGCTTCTCTTGCTTTGATGGCTTTTAGCATCCTGCTTATCTTGGGCAACAAGAAAAATGAGTTTAGGTTTTAAAGTTTTCAACACTGGAAGTGCAGTTAGCACAAGGAAATGCTTATTTGTTTAAAAAGAAATATTTCCATTAGATGTTTTTAAGCGGTGGAACATTTATATTCATCTCTAGATCTGTAAAAGCTTATTTTTACAAAAAGTAAGTTGCAGGCCGAACACAAATTGACTGTACTTCAAGCAATGCAATGCACAAATAATCTTCCCTTTAATCCACTTTTAAAGCCATTCCTTTTTGAAGTAGAATAGGAAAGGATTGAGATAAACTATTTGATTTAAATCTCAAATTAAACGGCTACATGAACAAAGCTCTCTGTTACAGCAACACAGATTAAGTTAAGTGTCAAAATGGTTGGTGCTGTGCAAGACACAGAAGACAACTGTTTCCACAAAGAAGAATCTCCCTTCTATGTGGAGACACAACACAGAAACAAATTAACAACATTTATAAGGTCCCACCTTTGAGCCCAATCATTGTTTCAATGAGAATTTTGCCAGGCTCTTCAAATGCAAGCATGATTAGGGCCTTAACTACAAGAAAGCCAGGCAACGCTATGGGGACTACTTAGAAATGCATTTTGAAGAAGGATTTGAAAAGCAACAGGGTGGGTGCTCAGCCCACTGTAACAGGCAGATTTCTGTGTAACATCCTGTCTTATCAGCTACACAATTACATTTAATGTAAGTTACAAGTACACACACACTTTGTCCTGATAAGACTGATTTCTTATGGATTACAGAGCTACTGTATTTCAGTTATAAACTCAATTTTCTTTAAATCATCGATGAGCTCATTTGCTATATCCAGAAGTAAAGACGAAGAAATTATACATAAACAATCGAGATTTTATATTTTCAATTTACTTCCAGACAAGCTAATTCACTATGCAATTATGAACTTTGGAAACCCATATATGAACTCATCTACATTTCTGATATATATTAGTACTCTATTTCAATATTTTAATCGTGCCATTATTTTAGTTCAGTTTTTTATAAAATAATAAATTCCAATACTATTTTCCTCTGCTCCTGCATTTTTATAAACAGGTTCCATTTCTGCCTTTATTTTTAGAAAGAAAAGATGGATTGTGGTGAGGGGAGGGGTGGAAATCACCTCCAGCTGAAAAGTTTATTTTTTTCTGAAGAGTTTAAAGACACTAGATTTTACACAGTACATAGGAAAAAAGTGGCAAGAGTTTCAAGCATGGAATATTAACTAAATACCACACACATTCTTAGGCAAGAATTTGATCAGATAGTTTTTGCTTCCTACCTATCTGCATGACTCTGCCAAAAACAGAGTTGTTGTCCACAGTGCTGCAGTTCCATCTTCTGTGTCTGAACTGATACTGGCATTCTTTAATGCCAGTCTTTGCCCCCTCTCCAATGAACTGCATATGGTCCTGATACAACTGGCAGAGTTTCTTCTGTCCTTGGGAAAGTCCTGCTAGTTGGCTACACAGTGGCTGTGCTCCTATTATATATACCTCTGGCATCTGAACAGGGTTCATTGGGTTCATGGGATTCATACCTAAAGACCTGCATAAAGAAAGAGCTAAATTAATAAGGAGAAAACTAAATATAATAATTATTCTCAAATATACACACAACTCCAACGTGACTTGTGCTGCGATGCAGATGAAAAAGAAGAAGAAAAAAAAACAAGCTACTTTTCTATTCAAAGATTGTACAGAAAATAAGGTGTCCATATGCACATAGGGACCAGGGAGTATACTTTAATAACTATCTTTGTCCCCACTTGGGTAAACCTTGTGGCCAGGCTTCAAGTTTCATCCCATCTGTAGTAATTTCAGTCAACTTGGTAAAACTACAAGATGTCCCTAGTGACTATACGGCCAGCTAGTGTGTCAACCGGAATTTAGGATGTTTGACTTAGATTTTCAGCTTGTGCGATAATGAGCAATAAGGAAATACTCAAGAACCAACAGTTAAAAACTGTTAGAGGTACAGCTAGATCCTTGAGACCAATAGAGAAAACACAAAAGGCGAAAAGGTAAGTTAAAATAAAATTTGCCAAAAGTTTCCCAAACTCTATAATCACTTAAGGAGCCCTTTTCACATGATTAAAATCAGAGCTTTGAGATAGAGAGAAAAAATGATTATCTGAGATGGCAAAAGCTGACCCTTTAACAAAAATGCGAAAGAAAACCCATGCAAATATTTCATGTATGATTGGGGCAAATAGTTTTTAAGAGAAATACTAACTCAAGCCCCGTGACTTAATGTTAAACTATCTGATTAACTTCCAATCAGTTAAATAGCTTTGCATCTGGAACTCAGCATTTCCCCCTTACAGTCCTTTCTTCATCTTCCAACCCCAAAGCAAGAGACCAACTTGAAAAGAAACTGAATTTTACTGCCTTAAAGGTGGTGGAAATAAATTCTCCGTGGGCTTCCACCTATGCTGAAAACTGAGGTTTACTACATGACACACCCGCACCCTTAACAGTTCTTCCAGAAACCAGTTCAGTTTGCTACCATGTGGTTACAATCCCAATTTGACCCCACAGAAGTCTCTAGTCCCTGTAGTCCTCGCCTAGGAACAGAAGCAGCAAACAGGCTCCTGACCCAACAACACCAGATCTCTCCTTCTCAATGCACTCAGGCAGATGCTTACCACCAAGAGCTGGCTTCTATTACGACCTGGGTAAAAGAGGAGAAAATGGCCAGAGCCACAATGAGGTATTTCGAAGCCATGGCGCTGCCAGCTGTCCCCAGAGCACCTCTCTGCATTAGTATTCCAATAGACCTCTGGAGGGGGGGAAAGGAAAGGAAAAAAAAAAAGAGCAGATTGTTTATTGTTTCTCAGTTCATCTAGGAACATAGAAGTTTAAGTGGTGGAAGCATCCAGGTCCCTCTCAAGTTGCCTGCCCCTTCTACCCAGTGCCTTCTGGCTGGCAAGAGGCAGGACCCCACCGGGCTCCCTCTCAAGCGAATCCACCGCGCAACCTGACAAGGGAAATCAGGCCCCGCCGCTCGCGGGGCTCCCGGC